AAAAAGAGCACAGGTTGTCCAAAACCTATGTGAATAGAGAAGCATGGCTGGTCTTCTGAAATTATAAGAACCTGCCATAATTTGGATCTGCTTTGTACTGTTGATGACTTTTAATTTTTCAGAGACAGAGCAGCCACACTCCCCTGTCCCTCCCTGTTTGGTGATCCATGGGAGCTCTTTCCACAGAGCACCAGCAAAGACAAGACTGCTCCTAGTTGTAGGCTAGGATCTTGTCCTTGTGCCAATGATTAGCAACAGGAGAATTCTGTTGAATTGGTTGGGTATGTCCTCTTCAAGATGGAGAAAGTGGAAGGTGACTTCCCCCTGGAAGGAACAAAACTCTGTCTTGGGAATTCTCCTGGAGCTGTGGCTAACTCAAGATGTTCAGATAGCATTCGCGGAAAGGGTACTTTTTCACATCATCAACTGGTTCTCCAGTCATGACACCACTGGGGAAATGCTTGAGCTGGTGACATCCATACAGGATTACTGCAAAACTAATCTAATCTCTAATCTGAGCATTTAAGACAACTTGGAAGTCAATTTGTCCAAAATGCAGGTTCCATGACATTGGCAAGAGGACCAAGGTGGTTGGAACAAAAAGTATCTATCCTACAGCAGTTACCTGGCTTATCAATTTGTGTGTGGGTGGAGGAGTCCATTGATGTGCTGGTTTTGATATTTAAATCCCTTGGTGGCCTGTGAGCTAGTTATCTAAAGGGCCATTTATGTCCACATGAACCTCACATGTGGTGTCAACAGGTGGCACATTTATGTAGGCAGCTGCCAGTGGCTTTTTCCCACTGCGCTTCCTCTTCCATCTCTGGTGTCACCATCGCTTCTGCTTCCTGGGTTGGTGACAGCACAGCATCATCCTCCTAGGATCTTACTGAACTGCCTTATACTGAGTGAGAGATGGGGTTCACCTTCTTTAGTATTTTCTACCCCCCACACACACACATCTGGAGAGAGGGGGAGCAGGAGGCTTGCCTATATACAGGTTTCACTCCCTCTTCTCTGTACAGTAACACAAGGAATGTGAGAAGTAACAGCCTTCATTTGCCTTGCTCTCCCCTTCTGGGCAGTGTCAAAGAGGTGGGCCTATTCAGGGAGGAAGGCACTGTGAGCATCTTGCCCAAGGGCCTCCCAAAACCTGGAGCTGGCACTGAAACAACTCCATCTTTAGACGTGATGTGTAGGCACTTCCTGCTTAATAACCATACAAATCTTTCCTAGTGATGGTGTAGTGAGATGATGCCAATAAAGTGAGGGAGTGGTTTTTCAACATCCAAGATTCCATAACTCTCACCAACCCAACCCTGCATGGTCAGGAATTCTAGAATTATAGTGCAAAATGTTTGAAGGGCACTAGGTTGGGGTAAGCAGATGTAGGTGATTTCAAACACACACTAGCTGAAATCCTTGCCTCCCCTGCCACCTTTTTTTAGAACATGAGTACAGGTGGCCTGTGTCCTCCAGAAGATAATGGTTGTGCGGGATGAGCTACCAAGCACCACACTACTGTACTGAGGTTTTAAAAGGAACTGTTGCCTACCCTATTCATTTAGGACTAATTGCTAAAATTGGTCCAAGACCTTTTTTAAAAAATGCCAACCGCACACAGCTTGAGTCCATATTGCAAAGCTATTGTGTCAGAGCTCCATGAATTGTAAGCAGTACTTTTCCGTTCTGCATTGGGTGGTACAGAAGATCAACCTGACCCAGAATCATCGTTATTATTTTCTGATTGAAAGGGGTAGAGAGGATTATTTCATACAGGAAAACAGTAACAACTCTGAGCTGCACTTATCTGAGGTGGCCCATACAGACTTGCCAGTCACTTCTTGCTATTGCTGTCATCAAGACATGACTGAACAAGGCCTTGAAGAGAAGGAATTGGATCCAAAATCTCCCCCTCCCCACACATTCAGCAGGGCCCCCTGGCCCTCTATTGACTGCTCCCCCCAGAAACATCTGCTGGGCGACTTTCAATGTTGTTTCAGCACCAAGTCTTCTCAAGTCTTCTGGTTTAGCATGGTGTATCTTACTCCTTTGTTCTTTGTTTTAAATCAGTATGGATATTTTTATCCCTTAATTCTCTGTTTTTAAGTGGCACATTTGGATCCATAGATGTATTCTGTTCGTTGCCTTTGATTGTACTTTTATTGTAATTGTGCTTTAAAAAATTACCTCAGCTCTATGAACTGCCTAGAGAACATTTGTTATCTGACAACCTAAAAATAACTTTAAATGAATAAATGCAGGCAGTGCTCCAGCACTGGTATTTTGGTGGGAAATGGAGCCCTTCTCCAAGTCTAAAAGGGGGAGAGAAAAACGGAATTGCTTTGCAACGCACTGTGTTTTTGAATAACTGCTGTCCGTGGGAATCAGGGACAGGTGGAAGTCAGTTTGGGAGGTGGGTGTCCCCTCCATCAAAACATGTGTGCACACTGTTTTCCCTTTAACTTTCCGCTTCATTTGTTTTCTCTCATCCTTGTCTTGCTCTTAGTGAACTCTCTGCCACGTATGAAAGATTATTTTCTCTGTGTTAGAAGCACTGTCTGTACTGCTATTGCACCATTATTCATCAAGTATGGCACAGAGGGATGAACCATTGTCTCCCAGTGTGCCAGATGCTCACAGCCCCAGTTCAGTGTTGCAGCGCTCAGCCAGAAGCATCGGAAATCACATGGGATGAGGTGATACCCTTTTCCCTTGGAAGATCCCAGCTGCTGGGTAGGGTAGGGCTGCCATCTTTCTGTGTACATTCAAGAACTCTGGTTCTTCTTTAGCAACCAAAGGAGTACAAAGCACAGGCACAGTTCTTTCCATCTGGGCAGCTTCATGCTGGAGAAGCCCTTTCTGTGGATTCTTCTGTGATGCTCAGCTGTCAAAGGCACAGAGGTGACAGCTGCTTGCAAAGAATAGGCTTAGTGCAGATTGGCCCATTTGGGGACTCACATTTTGGGGTGGCTGAGATATTTTGCTGCTTGAAGCAAGGAGTATGATGGCGCCCCTCACATTCCAACAGAAGCAAGTCAAATGGGCAGCAGAATTGTACGTCAACACTGGCAACAAGACAGTGTCCTTCACTTCAGCTGAGGGCAGTGGGGTAGTTTAGAGGGCTAAGGATAGCAGTGGAGGCTGGCGCATCCAAGGACAGTAGGACAATGTATCCTCTCTGGGTCTTAGTCTGAACTTCTGAGGAGCTATCCATGGTTCTGGACAACCCACCTGGAGAATTTTAGATTCAGCACCATGGAGAGCTTCCCTGCTGCAGGATAGACCGTCTGTCCCTCATCACTCAGCTTTGTGCTGCCAATACAGGGGAGTACCTGGGGGCTCAAGAGGGATGGCCAGGGGGCCTTTGCTGCTGCCCGCCCATCCACTTCCTGAGGTGGTTGCCTCATTTTGCCTAATGGTAGGGCCAGCCCTGCTCACACTTTCCTGGAGGCCCACATATGGTTGGTATCCATTTATAATCCTCCTTTCCCAGTGCTTCCCCATTTTTTATTCAGCTCACTGAAAGTCAGACTATTTAGAAGTGGTCAGGAGTAGAGGGCAATCTCCACATTTATAGATGCCCTTAGCCCAGACTCTAGTCTTTTGAAAGAGGAGTCATTTTGAACAGGTAAGTCAGCCTATCACAGTTCAGCACAGAGTGACCTTTGCACCATTTTATAACCATTTGGAGTGAATGCATTTATGCACGTCATGCCAAAAGTGAACTGGGGGAGACTTTACTCCTTGTTTTAACTATTTTCAAACCTGGGGTCATATCCTGAAGCTCAGTAGTGGGGGATTCAAGACCAAAACAGAAGGAACTGTTTTACAGAATGCATAACTGTAAGATGTAGTGATGGCCACCAAGTTCACACATCCTTGCCCCAGCACTTTCCAGCCTGTTACCCTCAGCATGTACCCCCGCCCTTTCGATGGTGGAGGTGGCAGGCAATAGCAGCAACTAGAAGGACAGTTGCAGGCCCAGCTAAAGCAGTCAGTGCTACATTGCTCAGATTGTATGAGAATTTCAGTTTTTGCCTAAAGTCATATGATTTACGCAAACATTCTAAATTTATGCAACTTCAGAACATGTAGACATTTCCTTCTACAGGTGGTATCAACCTTGCTTTAAGCTATGTAAGAAATTTAGGAGATTTAGGAAATTTGTGGGAATTTGCAGAAATGAGTGCAAATTGAGAAGGAAAAAGTCATGCAAATTTCTTGCTGAATCACTGCTCAGCTTATGCATTCACTCCAAACATGCAGAAGTTGAAAATGTGAACAGGAATTAGATACCCCACACGCAGTGATCCAAGGTTCAGAGAATCCTGGGGACTGCAAACCATGCTTGTTCACCCACCTTAAGTTGTTGTTCACCTTGAGCAAAGGCTTGTAGTTATGGAAACTCACTGAAGACATCTTAGCTGACCTCCGCAGGAAATAACTGGTGCCCTCATTTTCTGAAGCTTGCAATGTAATGCTTTAGTTTGATTTACTTCTGAGTAAACCAGCTTAAGGGACTGCAAGTGGCACAGTGGTTTAAACCTCTGTGCTGCTGGGCTGGTTGATCGAAAGGTCACCGGTTCGAATCTGTACAACGGAGTGAGTTAAAGTTGCTCCGTCCCAGCTCCTGCCAACCTTGAGGTTTGAAAGCATCCAAATGCAAGTAGATAAAAAGGAACCACTTCGGTGGGCCGGAAACAGCGTTCCATGCACTTTGGTGTTTAGTCATGCCAGCCACATGACCACGGAGACCACGGAAATGCTGGCTCCCTTGGCTAGGAAACTGAGATGAGCACCGCCCCCTAGAGTCAGACATGACTGGACTTAACATCAAGGGGAAACCTTTACCTTTACTTTCACCTTAAACCAGCTTAAGCACTGGACTATAAACTGATTCCTCTACCCATTCAGCCAATTGCATATGAAATTGATCTACCAATTAATCTAATTAAAGCTGCCTGGATAATTTTGTTTTTCCTCCTTGCTATTTGCAGACATTTCCGTCAGCCTGCTAGCAGTTGTTGTCAGCTTCTGTGGACTTGCCTTGCTGTTAGTGTCACTCTTCGTCTTCTGGAAGCTGTGCTGGCCGTGCTGGAGGAGCAAACCAATGACTTCAAACACCACGAGCATCCCACAGAGCACCTCCAGCGCTCCCCCTGAGATTTTGGAAACAAATGAGAAAAAGGAGCCAATCAAAGAAAATGGGAAGCCCTCAGCCAAGATCCTTGAAGCAGCAATGAAAATTAGCCACACTTCTCCTGATATTCCAGCAGAGGTCCAGAATGCACTGAAAGAGCACCTCATCAAACATGCTCGCATGCAAAGGCAGATCACAGAGCCTACATCCTCATCAAGGTAAGCAAAATTCAAACACTTGCAAGGGTATGGGCCTAAGGCCATATCTAGCTGAGAATTAGAAGATAAAAACAGATGAATGACACAGCCTGTTTCTCAGCCTGTTTCCAAAGGATGTAACGAACCGAGGAGGAACAAGAACCATAGCGATATAGATTTCTCCGGAATGTTCAATAAATACTCTCCTTGTAAGTTTCCTATAGTGGATGTTTATCTGTGCATGATAGGATAACATAAGGCATTTTTAAGGCTTTATCTCCCAGTAAGTTTGCACTTCTGTGCATTTCCATACAAATCTTCATCAAGGGAAAAAGTTAGCATGTGAATGAGCTTTAGAATGGTTGATCCAGAAGTACAGTGGAGGGCAAAGCTCTTATGCCCCAGTCTTTGCTTATTTGGTATTAAAAAAAACATTAAGACTATTAAGATGGAATAGTACAGATGAATATGTATTTACTTACCCAAAGGCAAGTTTCCATGTTGTGAAGCACATAGCCTTATGGAAAACCAGACATCTATATTTTCATGCAATCGGGTGAAGAGAATCTTAACATGTTCCCAGCATCTGAGCAGAAAACTGGGGGAGCTATGTGATAGCAGTACAATCTTCCTTGGTGCTTCACAGGGTGTTGCACATGGCTTAGAAGGTGGTGACTTGCATATAAAAGAAATGCATTGCTTGGTTATGTCCATGCGTATTCATCCTCCGACCCAGTGATTTCAGCAAATTGCATTTCTAAATGGATGTGTCTCAGATCAGAAAGGACTGCATGATTCCAGCTTATGTTCCACTCCCAAGTGTCTTTTCAGGCACAGGTCCCACTAGGCTGACTGCAGTTTAATGCCAAGAAGTGTGCACACATTTGCAGTTACACCATTACACTCTTCTTTACAAAACACAAATCATCATTGGGGGGCTTCTTGGAAGTATACCATGTAATCTAGAACTGTGTAGTAAATTTGCTGTCTGATGACTGTCAATGGATCTATTGCTGTGCTTTGGCCTCTGGGTGATGACTGATTAAAGTCTTGGGATTTGTAACATTCTTTTAAGGGCACAGGATGGTTCTCAGAGGCCAGGGCTGAGGCATATGCCTGACAGGTTACACAGTAGAAACTGGAGTTCATTCGGTTTAATGAGCACAAGTAAAGAGACCAACATACTTCTGCATTAGCTAGAGGTGAAGCATTTAGTTTCAGCAGCTTGGAGTGCTTTTTACCAGCTTTGGAGGATGGCCCTGTCCAGATATCTCTATCACACGGAGGTGGGTAGAGACCTGTTCTCCCCTGCAGAGGAAGGCAGAACGCACTCCAGTGGAGCCAAGCTCAAGGAACCAAGGTTCCATTTGGATGCCAGGAAGTACTTCCTGACAGTTAGGACCCCGAGGGTGTGGAATGGGCTTCCATGGGAGGTGGTTGAGGCCCCATCGGTGAGGGTGTTCAAGGATAGGCTGGACAGGCACATGGTGGGCATGTCGTGAGTGGAGCCGGCTGGAGCCAGGGGTCAGACTTCTGGCTCACTCTGTTTCTATGTTTCTATCTGGACAGAAATACCCTGATTTCAGTTATCTACATTCCGATCATCTCTGAACTAGATTACTGCAATGCACTTTGCATGGGGTTGGCCTTGAAAACTGTTCAGAAGCCACAGCTCATGCAAAATGTGGCAGCCAGATTAACAACTGCACCCACATTGGCTGTTTGTATGCTTCTGGGACAACTTCAAGGTGCTGGCTTATAAAGCCTTACACAGCTTGGGGACACAACAACTATCAGAGCTCTTCTCCCAAACACAATCTATTCAGACACTACATCCAGGCCGTAGGCTTTCCACAGAGCGCCAACTCCAGGGGAGGCTCAGAGGATGACAACAAGGGGGAGGGCTTTCTCTGTGATGGCCCAGTGTGGCCCACCTGACACCAACTTTGTCATCTTTACAGCACCAGGTTACCTAGGGCTCATGTCATCTGACAGGATGAGATCTTAGCAAGGAGACCCTATCTAGGTAAAAGAGCTGAGGCTTCTTACTCAGGTCAAGTCCAGACAAGGTAAGTAGAGCAGCACAGCAAGGTAGATGAAGACAGAAGTCCTCTTGTGTAAAAGGCAGTGGCATCTGGACCTTGGAGCTCTCTCCTACTAATTGCATTGGAGGATATTGTCTCATCAGCAAGCTGAAGTCCTACGGTCTGTAGTGTGGAGGATCTGGAGGAACTTTGGAGGATCTGACTGAACTTTAAAGAACTTCAGTCTTCTGAAAGCCTGAGGAGTTGGAGGTTCAGCTGGTGGTTCCTCCTTTGATTCAAAAGATGGTGGCAATGATGGGGGCTGAAAATAGGACTGGTGGTTCCTCCCTTGGAATAGTAGTCGTATCTACATCTTTAGTAAAGCCTTATCATCTACCTTGAAAAGGTTGCGGTTTTGGGGAAATGACACAAGAGAAGGTTTTAAGTTTAAATGGGAGATAGAAATTACATAGAACATTTGCAAGAGAAACAGTCAGGAGGAAGGAACCTAACAGAAGATATGCACACTAAACAAAAATTGCTTGGCCACATGGTCTGTTTTCTTAGTTCAGAGCAATCGGTGAAGATTCACCATTAAAGAACCTTGAGTATGTCCTTATGTAGTAGCTCGATGGGTAGTGCATTGTTTCACAGCTGTTGACAAGAGCATCAACAAGGAACATGCAGGATTAAGCACACACCTGCAAAGCAGCTGATCTGGGCACCTGGTCTGCTGATGGCACACATTCTGTTCTGAAGAAGAACTCTGGGGAATTTGTGCTCAAGTCATAACACAGTAAACCATTATAAGCTGGACAATTGATGACTGAAACCAGAAAATGAATCACATACTTGGGTGACATCACTAGCAAAGTTTACAAAGACACTGTAAAGATGCATTTTCATCCAAAGACCAATTAAATCCTATACTCACTTACACGAGCAAGTCACATTGAACTTAATGGGGCTCACTTCTGAAAAGACAAGTCTAAAATTGTACAGTTAAACTTGTAGCACTCCCCCTGGAACCACTCATCTTTCAGGAAAGTGAGGGATACATAAAAATGCAAATGTCATCCATGAGGTGCAGTGCTCTTGCTCTACGAGTCCCATAATAGCTGAGACCCAAAATAGGCAAGATGAGACTTCTTGCTGCAGCAACTTTAAACTTAACCAATCTCAATTATTGAAAAATACTCGTAGCAACTCTTAACGCTGAACAATTTCATCTCTAACTGAGATTCTGTGTTGCATCAAGATATAGTGAAGAATAATCCTGTGGCACTTAGTGCTACCTGCAGCATCAATCAAGCAATGATTTCATGAAAGGAGTGACAGAAGTATCTAGGTTTGATGTGTTAGGAACACCAAGGAGTGAAACACATCCATCCTCCTCCATGCCTGAAGAATTTAAGTATGCCTTTTCAAACAGAGAAAATGACAATGAAGGAGTGACAAGCATCATGACTCATGAAAGAAACAAAAGATCACACTTGCCAAGGGTGAGTTTCTGCATTTCTGATTGGCAAGTTATTTGCCTATCGCATTGATACAATAAATGCCGCTTGTATATTTGCAGCAGACTATAGCAGCACAGGAGTTCGGCAAGGATGCAGAGCACATCATGAGAAAGGTGGGGCTAGATGAATCACCAGTTGGAATTAAGATTGCTGGGAGAAATATCAACAACCTCAGATATGCAGATGATACCACTCTCATGGCAGAAAGTGAAGAGGAACTAAAGAGCCTCTTGATGTGGGTGAAGGAGGAGAGTGCAAAAGTTGGCTTGAAACTCAACATTAAGAAAACTAAGTTCATGGCATCCGGTCCTCTCATTTCCTGGCAAATAGATGGGGAAGAAATGGAAGAAGTGACAGATTTTATTTTCCTGGGCTCCAAGATCACCGTAGATGGGGACTGCAGCCAAGAAATTAAAAGACGCTTGCTCCTTCGGAGGAAAGCTATGGCAAATCTAAACAGCATACCAAAAAGCAGAGACATCACCCTGCCAACAAAAGTGCGTATAGTCAAGGCTATGGTTTTCCCAGTTGCAATGTATGGCTGTGAAAGCTGGACCATAAGGAAGGCTGAGCGCCAAAGGATTGAGGCCTTTGAATTGTGGTGCTGGAGGAGACTCCTGTGAGTCCCTTGGACCACGAGGCAATCAAACCGGTCAGTCCTAGAGGAGATCAACCCTGACTGCTCTTTAGAAGGCCAGATCCTGAAGATGAAACTCAAATACTTTGGCCACCTAATGAGAAGGAAGGACTTCCTGGAGAAGAGTTTAATGCTGGGAACAATAGATGGCAAAAGAAGAAGGGGACGGCAGAGAATGAGGTGGCTGGATGGGGTCACTGAAGCAGTTGGTGTGAGTTTGAGTGGACTCTGGGGGATGGTGGAGGACAGGAAGTCCTGGAGGAATGTTGTCCATGGGGTCGCGATGGGTCGGACACGACTTTGCAACTAACAACAACAAATACCAGCACAAATATATCCAAGAATGAGGCACCAAGTGAAGTATAGTATCTCTATAGGGGCACAGTAGGTGAGCTACATGGCCATTATGATAGAAGTCAACTTTTGCCATCTTGTCCCCTCCCAGAGGCCATCTTGTCTTGTGATGATGGAAGTCTTGGTCCAACACATCTGGCTGGGAAGGGCTTCCATAGGCAATTGTTCTAAGCAGGTTCCTATCCTACAGAAGAATGAAATGCCTGGGACATACTTGGTCTGTTTCCTGATGGAAGGGCATCAGAGAGGCAGCCAAACTAGCCTCCCTTCACAGTGAATTCCTCAACCTGGGAACAACAACCTCTCCTGTGTTAACACCAAACGCACCATTGTTAGAGGTGGTACCATGAGGAGGGCTTCCCCTAGGCTCTTCTATCCCAGGCAGGTTCATAAGGAGAAGACCACCTTTCAACCTGGGTTTGGATGAGTGAATCCGTGAGTCTTGGAATTGGAGCTAATGAGCTGGAATCAGAGAAAGTAAGTGGA